GTGACCGGAGGGTTGAGAGGACGACCTAGTTCCAGAGTATGATGGGAAGGATCGACTATAGGAGGACGGGACAGAGATGCTGAAAGTCTAGACCTGTGGGGCGATCTCGACCTATGAACAGAGTGGGATGAATAGCGATCCCAATCAGAGTAGCCCGCCGGAGTCAACCACGGCATGGATGGTGGATAAGCACCATACAGGTGCCTCAACTGTCATTGATGCCACGACATTGGTGGTGGGGGGGGGCAAGAAGACTCTTGGGGAGCGACTTCTGGACCGTGGACGTCTGTGAGACAAAGCAGCAGCCTGTCTGTGAGAGCCGTCCCTGTAGTCTCAGTCGTCGATATCGACAGATTGACCTTGCAGATGTGGAGGGTGCATGTCACATGAAGTATATTGATGCCGACATGGATCTATGTCGGGAGCTTCCGATACCATCGATGTCAACAAAGTCGAATGAGTGGGGGAAAGCTCTGCACCCATTTGGTGACTTAGGAGCTTCGCCGTGTCGATGTCAGAGTAAGGACGCTCCATTTATTGGACGGGGGAATCCAATATTTGGATGGTCGGTATCGGTGGAGGGGCTTGGGCCTTCGATATCGATACTGCTGTTGGAGCAGGAGGCACTATAGGGGCATCACCCAGTGCAGACACTGCTTCCTTCCCCTTCTTTGCCGCCTTCAGGGGCTTGGAGGTGCCCTTCTTAGCGGACTTGTGATCCTTACTTGCCTTAGCCTTCTTTTTGACTGGCGTGGAAGCGGACGATTGTGCCTTCGATGGTGATAGCTTCGGCGTCGGGCGGTCGACATCAGAGGCAGGTCTTGATGCCGGAGCTGTCGATGTTGACGGTCTCTCCTCCATCGCTGAGGCAAGAGCAAGGGCCAATTCAAGCAGCGCCACTTTAAGGTGCGCAGCACTTTTTTTCTCGTTTGGTTGGAGAAACGTGCACAGTGGCGACAGGACTCTGGCTGGTGAGACTCTCCGAGGATAAAAATGCAGAGGGTATGGCGGTCGGGAGGAGAAAGTTTGCTACCGCAACCCCTGCACCTATTTAAAAATCCCCTTTTTCTCCATATAAAAGAAAAGAAGATGAGGGAACGTTTGAGGGGGGGGGTAGCCCGAAGGCCTGAGGTAAAGTCCCCTCAACCGAAAGCAAAATATATTTTTTCAACTGTTTTTGAAGAAGAAACAAAAAATAAAGTAAAAGAAGTTTGGAAATAATTCCTAAGAGCTGTGAGGTGAGCTAACAGCGAACCGATCAGACCGACGAAGAAGAGGTCTACTCAACGCGGTGGTAAGAAAGGAACTGGCGGGATGTCCGCGCCCACCCCTCTGGGCATGCGCGGTGGGGTTCCTGCACATGCCCGAGGGACTGGGTGCGAAAATCCATTAAAAGAGCTTGCTACAGCACCGATCGATCCAGCGTGTGCACACTAGATCCCATGGGTGTGAAGCACAGAGACCACGTTGAAGATCTGAAGATGAAACATATCTATCTGTAGCCATAAGGCTTCCAGACAGTTATTCAAAACCAGGTTTATTACTACTCTGGAACAGTTAGCCTTCAATGTCATTTGAAAATTGTTTTAGATTTTTGTTAATCTGATAATTTGTGTAAATTCTGGAAACTATAAAGATATTTAGGTTGTAGATTGGTTTTGTATTTTATCTTAAATCCTGTATTTTATATAACTTTGCATTTTACATAACTTTGTATTGTCTAAACGCCTATGAGCTGTATAGATGCATCTGTTAATAAAGTGAACGGACTTTGCAAAATGAACCTAACCTGGCTGCTCTTCAAATAGGAACAACAGAAACTGCATGAAGTTGACAAACATGAAGCAGATAATTGAAGCACAGAGGGGGAGCATGCCTGATGGCATCAGATCTCGGAAGCTAAGCCGAGTTGATACCACCAGAGTTGATGCGAGACTACCAAGGAAGATTCTGCAGAGGAAGGCTGAGAAGCTAAATGCATTTTTTGCCTCCGTCTTCACTGTGGAAGATGAGAAGTGCTTGCCCACTCCAGAACCGCTGAGTTTGGGAGGAGTGTTGAAAGACCTGAGTCAGATTGAGGTGACGAGAGAGGAGGTCCTAAAACTGATAGACAACTCAAAAACTAATAAATCACCAGGCCCAGATGGCATACATCCGAGAGTTCTGAAAGAACTCAAATGTGAACTTGTGGATCTCCTGACAAAAATATGTAATCTTTCCTTAAAATCTGCCTCCATTCCTGAGGACTGGAAGGTAGCAAATGTCACTCCCATCTTTAAAAAGGGTTCCAGAGGAGATCCGGGAAATTACAGGCCAGTCAGTCTGACGTCGATACCGGGTAAATTGGTGGAAACCATTATTAAGGAAAGAATTAGTAGGCACATAGATGAACAAAACCTATTGAGGCAGACTCAACATGGGTTCTGTAAGGGAAGATCTTGTCTCACTAACCTATTAGTGTTCTTTGAGGGGGTGAACAAACATGTGGACAAGGGGGATCCAATAGATATTGTTTACCTTGACTTCCAGAAAGCTTTTGATAAAGTTCCTCATCAAAGGCTCCTAAGCAAGCTCAAAAATCATGGGATAAAAGGACAAGTCCTTTTATGGATCAAAAACTGGCTAGTTCATAGAAAACAGAGAGTGAGTGTAGGTGGGCAATTTTCTCAGTGGAGGGTGGTAAGCAGTGGGGTACCACAGGGATCAGTACTTGGTCCACTGCTTTTTAACTTGTTCATTAATGATTTGGAGATGGGAGTAAGCAGTGAAGTGGCTAAATTTGCGGATGATACAAAGTTGTTCAAGGTGGTGAAAACCAGTGAGGATTGTGAGGCACTCCAAAGGGATCTGTCAAAGATGGGCAAGTGGGCGTCAACATGGCAAATGGGGTTCAATGTGGCCAAGTGCAAGGTGATGCACATTGGAGCCAAAAATCCTAAATATAAATACACATTGATGGGGTCTGAACTGGCAGAGACTGAGCAAGAGAGAGATCTTGGAGTTGTAGTGGATAACTCACTGAAAATGTCGAGACAGTGTGTGACTGCAATAAAGAAGGCCAATGCTATGCTGGGGATTATTAGGAAGGGTATTGAAAACAGATCAGCCAATATAATAATGCCCCTATATAAATCAATGGTGAGACCTCATTTGGAATACTGTGTGCAGTTCTGGGCACCACACCTTAAAAAGGATATTATAGCTTTGGAAAAAGTGCAGAAAAGGGCAACTCGAATGATAAAAGGGTTGGAACACTTTCCCTATGAGGAAAGGTTAAAGCGCTTAGGGCTCTTTAGCTTGGAGAAAAAGGACGTCCTTCTTCACCCAAAGAGTGATTAACACTTGGAATTCACTGCCACAGGAAGTGGTGGTGGCTACAAGCATGGACGGCTTCAAAAGGGAATTAGATAAGCATATGGAGCAGAGGTCCATCAGTGGCTATTAGCCACAAGGTATAGATAGGGACTCTGGGGCAAGTGATGCTCTGTCATCTTGGTGCTGGGGGGGGGTCAACAGTGGGAGGGCTTCTAATGTCCTGGCCCCACTGGTGGACCTCCTGATGGCACTGGTATTTCTGGCCACTGTGTGATACAGTGTTGGACTGGATGGGCCTTTGGCCTGATCCAACATTGGCATCTCTTATGTTCTTAAGGCAATGGCAAACCACCTCTGCTTCTCACTTGCCTTGAAAGGCCCTTGCTGGAGTCACCATAAGTTGGTTCTGACTCGACAGCATATGCATACATAAAACACTACTTAAGGAAAGGTTTTTCACATCAAACTATATACCATGAAAAACTGTGAGGACTTTTTCAAGATTTCCAACAGAAAAACTAGGTATTTTTGAGGTGTACTGAAAAAAACTCTTATAGTGTAGACTTATACAGCATTTGCAGGCTTTTTGTTTTGTTTAAACATAAATAATTTTGACAACAATATGCTATAATGTGGTTAACACGTTAATAAAGAATTTAGTATTTTCAATATTATAAAGTTTAGTTTAACACCCATACTGGCTGGTAGTCCTAGCTATTGTGATTACATGAGAGAATTTCTTTCCAAACACAATTTCTTCTGATTACTACAAAATCTGTTTTCTACTCTCAACTTTTCCCCCCCAATCTGTTCTTTTTTGGAGTTCCTGGTATTATGACTCAGGTAGATCATTTGGAGCTATGGTCACTAGTTTTGACTCTCCTTTCTAATAAAGGAGTCCTTTGCATAGATTATCAACAATTTAGCTGGTTAAGGTTTAAATAAATGGGATCTCATGCTTTTGGACTTATTCAATAGACGGTTTTGGATATATGTTTTCTATTGTTTGATATTAGCTTTCTCTGTATGGACATGGTCATTTCTTTTTAATATTTAAGAAACATTTATTTTTCTCTCACACACACATGGCAAAAATTAAAGATATTTGTGCTATGGGTAGCACATGGTGCAGCAATTTGCAACTCCTTCTAAAGGCATGCCCTTTTTTTAATAGAAAATGAAGTTATTTAAGCTTTTAAATGCCACAAAGATGCCAAATAGTACCAATTTTATATGCTACCTAAGTTGTAAGTAATGTATATGGTGCAGTGGGTAAAAACACAGGTTTGATAGGTTAGTAAGTACTGCATATATTTCATTTACCCCCAACATTTCAATCTCCCCACAAAAAATGTCCCGTCCCCCCCGTGGCTTCAAAATGTCTTGAAAGTTTACATCTTTACTAGCAACAGCCATTATGAACCACAGATGACATGGCCAGAAAGTACAGCTCGGCTACATGTCATCCTAGAGGGCACTAAGCAACCTTCCAAACAAGAATCATCAACATTGTACTAATATACTGTAGTCATTTGCTGTAACAGGATTCCAGTAGAACTCCAGGTTAATAAAACTTGTTCTTCCTAAGTAATACTGTTTTCTGTGCCACTGTAGCTATGTAGATCTGCAGAACAGACAGGCAGAATAGTACGTAGCAGGGAATTTCTATCACACAAATAAGTTACCTTTGCCCACTTTGCCTTTGCTCTTTGATTCTCTTTGCTTAACATTTCTGCAGTATCCTGAAGGAGAATTTAGAGTTGCATCATCATTAGAAGGAGAATGAGTATTTCCAGAACTATTTTCTGTGTGCGGCTTATAAACTGGAGAAGAGTGCACAGAAACTGATGGACTGGACTCTAATAAGCTATCTGTGCTTTCAGCACGCTCATATTTATCAACTCTTTCATCCACATTGTTCTGCTGTGGTGATGTTAACTTTTCTGTCACTTCTGAAAACTTGCTCTGGACAATTTCCTCTGAATCATCATCCTGAAAATATTTTAAAATTAACATGTTTAAAATTAAATTTTAAAAACATAAAACTCAACTATTTTTCACTGCAAAACATTCAGTGTAGTTCTGATCGAGTATTTCTACAGTTTAAATCCATCTTTAATTCTTTCCCTCTCTAGTTGCAGCAGAAAATAATTTCTCATGTTTGGGGACACAGCTTGAACTGGCTTCCCACATCAATTGTACGGAGTGGTAAAATTCCTGCAGCTCCAAATGTCCTACCAAGGATCTGGCAGCGCTAGTAATGCACACTAAATGCTCATCCCGAGAGAGGAGCAGCAGCACAGGAAAGGGAACTTTACCATGTAATCCGCATGCCATGTTATGGAAAGCTTATTCAAACACTGCTGCATATGTGTGGAACCCCAATCAGGCAGAAGCAATTTACACTACACTGCTGCATGAACATATGAATTATTCTATAGATTCCTCTATTAAACTCCATCCTTACTACCTTATTTTACAGGTAACAGAATAAATCTAACTATGAAGTATAACTTAATCTGGCTCTCGATATTCCATATTAGCAATATAAACGCCAGAAAACTAAGGTGAAAATCGGGGAAAGTAACACCATTTTGTAAGTCATCGTCCACCCAGCGATTCGAAAGCTTCGGCGAGTAGATAAAATGGGAACCACTCCTTAGAGAGGGTGGGCACACCAATATCCCTTGTGAGAGGGTGTTAGCTGACGGTCGGACTTTCTGGTTGAGGTTTGGAAAAGGCGAAAAAAACTTCTCGGCTACAAAGAATCCCTGCAGTGGATGTTCCGGCCAGGCGGTGGCAGTGTGGTGATTGACATACGGGTCCTGAAGCCTGGTCAACAAGCAGCCGTGCGGAAAACGACGGAGCCAAGCCAGAAAATGTCTACACCGGGCAGTGACAGCGTATGCAATTAAATGAATATATGTTGTCTTCCCTATCCCCTACAAACATTGTTAGTCCCTTGTCTATATTGAGTAACTGTACATCGCTTTGAGCCCACTGGGGAAAGCGATTAATAAATGGAAAGTATTATTATTATTATTATTATTATTATGATGATGATGATGTATCACAAACAGGAATATTAACACATTTTAATTTATGTACGTTAACGTTGTTCATATAACTCAATCTGCCCCTTAACCTTGATCAAGGGATTAGGAGTCGGCTGCTGGATGCACACTATGCTCTCCCTGCAGACCATGTTCTCTTGAGCATGAATTCTTCCTGCTCCTCTCCCTTACAGCACTAACCACTGTCACCCAAGTGAACTATGGTTAAGCTGACTAGGTTTCATTTTTTTTTAATTTTAATTTTTATTTGATTTTATCCACCAACCAACACCCAACAACATGTGCTAATTATACATTTTTACACAGACGAGCATACAGCCACATTTCCTTCCATTTTCCATAGCTCAAGTCCTTTCCTGGCCCTTCATTTTTAGTTTCCATTTGTATAGTTTTCCCCATTTTTTTCCAAACACAACTTCATCTTTCCCTTTTAATATACATATTTTATCCATTTTGGCGACCTCAAGTAATTTTTGTATCACCTCTAACTTATCTGGAATTTTATCTGTTTTTCAATACTTGGCGTAAATTATTCTTGGTGCAGTTATACAGTGTAACAACAAATCCCCCCCCCCTTTCCCATATATTTCGGGAATAATATTAAGTAGGAAGAGTTCAGGTTTTAATGGTATTGTAACCTCCATGATTTCCTTTAGCATCTCTCCGATCTTCCCCCAATATTCTTTAAGCCTTACAACACATCCACCACATATGGAAATATGTGACGACATTCTGTCTACATTTCCAGCATATATTGGACGATGTCTTAGAATATTTTGCTAATCTAGATGGGTGTAGATACCATCTATGTATAACTTTATAGATATTTTCTTTAAAAGGAGTTGCTCTAGTGGATTTCATATTTATCTCCCATATCTTCAGCCTTTTATCTTACTCTATATTATACCCTAAGTCTCTATTCCAAGCTCTCATGTTAGCCCTCACCACTTCCTCTTGCATCTTCCCATCTAACAATTTTCTATATACATTCTTCATCAGCTGGTCTTCCGAGTTAATCCAAATCTTATCAAAATCTGTTGGTTTGTCATAAAACCCAACTTTCTGGTCTTCTTTGTATCTAGCTTGTAAATGCATAATTTGTAACCACGACAATTCTATATTTTGTGCTTTCAAACTATCTGTTGATTTCAAGTTATTCTTATTATCTAATAAATCATCATAGGACCACCTTTTTTCATGAACATACAAAGTTGGTTTCACCAAGGCTTCTATGGTTGATACCCATCTCGGTATTTTCTCATAATATTGCTGTTTAACCTCTCTCCAAACCTTTAATAGAGAGCCCCTTAGATAGTGACTTTCGAAATATTTCCTTTCTTTATTATACCAGAAACTGGCGTGCCACCCCATCAGAAGATTGTGCCCCTTTAGCCTCAGAACTCTGATATTTGAGTGTCACCCACTCTTTTATCCACACCATGGCCGAGGCCTTGTGATATAGATCCCAATCAGGCAAGCCGAAACCACCTTTCTCTTTTCTGTTCTGCATCATCTTTAATTTAAATCTCGGCTTCCTCGACTGCCAAATAAAAGAAGAAATGATCTTTTCTAATTCTCTAAAAAACTTCTGACTCCTAATAATAGGTAATGTTTGAAATACAAACATTAGACTCGGAAGAATACTCATTTTGACTGTGGCAACTCTGCCTAACAGCGATATTTGTAAATCTTTCCAACTTTCCAAATCTTTTTTAACTTCCAAGAGCATTCTTTTGTAATTATCTTCAAATAATGAGCTACATTGTTTTGTTAACAACACCCCTAGGTATTTAATTTTCTTACTTATTACAAAACCTGCTTTTGTATTGCCTCTTCAGTTGCCTTTGAACAGTTCATTGTTAGTATTTTAGACTTTTGGAAATTTATCTTTAAGCCTGCCACCTGACCGTATATTTGTAACACGTGTACCAATTGTTCAATTGATTTTAGGGGTTCTTCTAAAATAAATACTAAATCGTCCACGTATGCCTGTAATTTAAATTGTTCTCCTTTGACATTTAGCCCTTTAATTAGGGGGTCCACTCTCACTATATCATTAAGCGTTTCTATTGCAAAAATGAACAATAAAGGCGACAGTGGACAACCCTGTCTTGTCCCCTTCTGTATTTGAAACTTTGTAGTTGTGTCTCCATTAAACGTTATTTTTGCCTCTTGTTGTTGATAGATCGCATGTATCATTTGAAAAAATATATCCCCACAATTCCAATGCCTAAGTTGTCTCAATATAAACTCCCAACTAACGTTATCAAATGCCTTCTCAGCGTCAAGAAATAAAAGAGCTAGCCGTTTTTCAGGGTGAGCTTCGTAAAATTCCAGCACATTTAGTATCATCCTCACATTATTTCTCAAGTATCTTTGTGGTAAAAAAACCTGCTTGGTCAGAATGTATTGTTTGTTGTAACACTCTCTTTAGTCTAGTAGCTAATATTGTAGCATAAATTTTATAATCAATGTTAAGTAATGAGATCGGCCTATAGTTTTTTATCTGCGTTAAGTCGGCTTCTTGTTTAGGAATTAAAGTAATTAGAGCTTCTTTCCAGGAGTTTGGAATCCTTTTCTTTTCGATAATATTTTGTATTGTCATTTTCAGAGGCGCATCAATTTGACTTCAAAATGTCTGATAGAATTCCGTCGGCAACCCGTCTGTCCCTGGTGTTTTCCTTGTCTTTAGCCTCTTAATAACTTCCGTTATTTCGCACATTGTGATTGGCTCGTTTAATGCTCTCCTTTGTTCTTCCGTAAATTTTCTTATTATATTTATTCAAGAAAGAATCTATTTCTTGCACATTTTGTTCTTTTTGTTCATATAAATCTTTATAAAATTTCTCTATACTTCTTTTGAGCTCTTCCATACAAAAGCAATTTTCCCCTTGATCATTCCTTAATGTTTTTATCAATTTCTTCTCCTTATTTCTCCTCAACCGATAGGATAACCACCGTAAGGGCTTATTCGCTTTCTCAAAGAAATAATGTCTTGCATACTTTATTTTTTGGGCTAGCTCTTGTGTTAACAGACAGTTTAATTGATGTTGTAATTTCATGATTTTAAACCTTAATTGTTTTGACTGTGGGTCTTTCTTCAGATCGCTTTCTTCTTTTTTAATCTGTCCCACTATTTGTTTATATTTTAATGGGTCTCAAAACCCAGGTGTAAGAGCAAACTTTGTTTTGGAGAGGAGGAAGGATTTGTACACAAGAGAGCAGGGGGGCTAACAGGAAGGAGTATCCAATAATATCACCAATTCCCAAAGGTTAAAGGATGGTCCAGGTTGCACTGGCTCATGTTATCCAAGGGTGTCTGAAAGAATCTTTAAAAATGAATGCAGGCTGTAGTTGAAGTATGGCTAGGTAACTAAAATACTCTTGATCATTTAAGCTATACTACAGTATGCATGCACACATAAGAGTGCACACAAACATACAGCTGCTGTATCATTAAACATGACCATCTCCCCCTCTCTGCCCTAGACATGTTGTTTGTTCTCAGAACAAGACTAATTTTTAAGACATAGACAGTGCATACCCGGGTGGTGGTGGGAGAGTAGCAATGGGTCATCAGCATACAGAGAAGCAGCGAGTGAATCATACCTAAAGCATCCTCTCCTCCCCTTTATTGGTTCCACGTATTTTTTAATGGGACTTCATGAACTCTTTGGAATGTTCTTACTATTATTTGCAATTATTTTACCGAACTCTGGAAATGCACCATCAACTGAGACCAGAAAATTAGTGAAAAGCTGCCAAGAAGGGGGGTGGGTGGAGAGAGTTGCCTACACACTGTTTAGCTATGAACACTATAGCTAAATGGACTTCTTTATTTGCTCGGAAAGGTATCGGAACAAAGAAACAAGGGACTCTCTGTGCTTTGCCTGCTGGAAGAGGGGAAAAAAGGTAGTTCTGTCATGTCACTAAGCTTGTCTGCAAAACAGCTTTTCAATTACAGGTTAACAATGGTAATTATAAAAATTAGAAGATCTGTGCCAACCATGCGGGCTTCCTAGCACTGGACTGCAACACACTGCTGGCTTATTGGAGCACATTACTGATAATTCTTAAATGCATACAGGATGTTCTTCAATTTCAGAACCCCAAATCAGGAAATTATTCAGTCCAAAATTACTTTTTGATATGATCCAAAGACCCATGAGTGGGCCTGTATACCACAGGTGGTCTGCCTCTTCCTTCCAGTTACAGGCTCTTACAGCTCCCCGTTCCCCAACTGCTCCACAGGATGAAGAGGGACAGCAATTGCATACAATGTGGTGTGGAAGATTGCAACTGGGCAGCAGGGAAGAAGAACCAGAGTACCTGCTCTGAATTCAGAGCCATAATGGCCTAATTACATAAGGGGTTTCCTGAATCTAAGCCTATTTTTCAAGAAATTCCTGAATGGCTACCATAACTAAATTAAGTACTATGAATGCATTCATCAGAGGACCTGTGAAAACTGAAACTGAAAAATAATAATAATCCTGTACCTGTGAATTGGCATCTTTCAGTCCAGCTCCAAGGGATTCTTTTCGCTTTGACCGAGAAGGTGGCTGACGTTTCACTTTCAAAGCAAGTTGAGCTTTTGCTTTATGTGCACTGGTGTCTAACCTTGATGTGTCCTCAAGGAAAGCATCAAAATCTGCAACAAATTCAGTGTTACATTTAAAAAAGGATAGTCCAGCAACACAACTTCTAGGGTTAAAGACGTTTTGCTAATGCTCGTTCATATACTAGCATTAAAGATTCTAAGTAATCTGAATTTCTATAGCCAAAATCCCCACCCCTACTGTATATAAGGCCCAATGGTTGTACATTTCATATGGCTGAAGTCAGCTCTAACAAAGCTTACACTGAAATAAGTTTTGCTATACCTTAAGGAGCTACTTGACTCCTGTCTAAGCATGGATACTCTCTCAGCACTACTCCACCCCCCCGCCCCCCGCCAATGCATACAATACTATCATCCCACAGTACAGGACAAAGGGACAATCCTGACTCCTGCATACTTAAGAGAAGGCACACCTGCTTTACGAGCAAAAGATGACAACACAAAACACACTGGTAACTTCCCCCAAACCTAAGTTATCTTGAGTACAATGTTCCATTGTTGAAAATATAACATCTTCACCTATTAATTCCTTCCAGTTAAGTAACAAGATTTATCATTCTCTCATTTAACAACTGAGAAGCTGCATCACCCTTTCTAGCAATGCAGTTTACAACTAATTTAAGAAATTAACCATGCAATCCTAAACAGAGTTATACCCTTCTAAATCCTGTGAAGTGAATGGAAATAGAGGGGTGTAACTCTGTTCAGGATTGCACTGTAAATTACATCTTTTACAATGATAAGAAAGCCAAAAGAAGTGTTGAAAAACAATCACATAAGCATATTCCATTTACTTACCAGAAAAATCTAGTTTCTCCATTGAAATCTCAATTTCCTGAACATTCTCTTTTACTTCCAAGTGTTCTGTCAGATGTTCAAGGCTTGGAGCAGCAGCCTCTAAGCCATTCCCAAACACATAAGGGGCACCCTCATATAATTTTAATTTATCTTCAAGCTCTGTAATCTAAAAATATTAGAATTCAATTTTAAAAACCAAAAGATAGATCAAGATGGATAGCTATGTTAGTCTCACTGTAGCAGTCGAAAAGAGCAAGAGTCCAATAGCACCTTAAAGACTAACAAACTATGTGGCAGGGTATGTGCTCATACACTGCCACATATTTTGTTAGACTTTAAGGTGCTAGTGGACTCTTGCTCTTTTCTACAGTTAAAACCCAAAAAGTAGTATAACTTGCAAAAAATGTTTAAAAGCCATCATGACTTACCTTCTCCTGCAATACTTTATGGTGATTTATATGTTCCTGGTCTTTCTCGTAAAGATGTTTTATATGGTCCTCTTCTTTCTTCAAAAATTCTGTTTCTCTGTTGGGGGAACAGGCAAAATTCCCATTGTGCAATTAGAAGATCTTACATCTTACACTTACACTTAGAACAACACCTAAAAGATGTATAATGGGATTCACACCAAGCCTTTGTCTGCCCCCTACTCTCCCCCACTTCAGCAATTTCCCCTATAAAACGTGGAATGTGATTTCTTCTTCATAGTAGCTGAAGAAATGAGCTGTGACTCATGAAAGCTTATGCTGGAATAAAGGTATCTAATCTTTAATGTGCCACTGGACTTCTTGTTTTATCTGAAAAGGGAAACAGATTTCCATATTTTTAGCTCAAGTCCTTTAACCTACGTGCTCAGAATGATTAGTCTATAACACCTTTGTTTCTATAATCTCACAATCCAACTATTCCAATATATTCAACTAATAAATGCTTCTAAATTTCTAAGCAGCAGATAGAATTAAGGGTACATGTACACTAGCCTCTTAATCAACATTTTCTCCCATTCCTATGTATTCTTTGCTTTTTCCACTTTCATCCCACTCACTTTCCTTAACTGTCAACCTGTTCGTCCATGCTCTCTTGAAGCAACATTCTCTCCCCTCATCAGAGGAACAGGTGGCCTCTTTCATACTGCAAAAGCTATTTTCAAGCATTCTTCATCTGTGTCCTGTTCCCCACAAAAGCTCTGAAAACAAGTGTGACAGACCAACCTATATCGGGCCAAACTGTTTTAGAGTTTACCAACTTAACTTGACTGGCTTCATTTTTTCCTCTGAGGATCCCAAACTTCCCTGTTTGTATCAGACTGTTTATTTGTCCTACATCCTGCTCTCTGCGACAAACAGGAAAGGCATGATTCTCCATTTCTCTGATCAGTACTGCTGAGACTTTGCGGACTTTGGCTGTCTCTGTTCCTTTCTTGGAATTCCTTCTCTGCCGCCCACCCATTCAAAATATTGTTGCTAGACAGACCCTAGACATTCACGTTTTACCCTTTTCCATTTGATCTTTTCAAGGCCTTTCTAATTTTCCTGAGTACATCTCAGCAATCTGTGGTTCCATACTGACTGACTTGAGAGTGACTGTTTTCTCTGCAAAAAGAAAGAACTGAATCCTAGCAAGTTCGCTTCTCCCCCCTCCAGTTCCTGATGCCTATGCAAATGCCTTGTTTGCCTGACACTGCCAGATCCCTAGTATAATATGGGTAGGGATGTGCATTTGGTTCGTCTGAACCGAATGCACCCCCGAAAATGGCCCATTCAGACCCCTTTCAGGCTGCTGCAGGCCGATTCAGATTCTCTGATCTGAATTGGCTTGCCATCAAATTTTGGCGGCAATTCGGCCCCATTATATCCTATAGGCCATTGAAGTCAATGGCAAAAACATAGGGTATATTCTGGGGGCTGGAGGGGAGGGGGTTTGAGGGAGAGGCTCCAAACTCTCAGGATAGCTGCTGGAGCCTCTCCCCGAGATACCAACCAAGTTTGAAGAACATTGGACCAGGGGGGGTCCAATTCTACGGGCCCCCAAACTGGTTGCCCCTATCCCCTCCATTGTTCTCTATGGTGGGAAAAAAGTAACTGTTTTCCCACCATAGAGAACAATGGAGGGGATAGGGGCAACCTGTTTGAGGGCTCATAGAATTGGACCCCCTGGTCCAATGCTCTTGAAACGTGGTTGGTATCTTGGGGACAGGCTCCAGTAGCTACCCTGAGAGTTTGGAGGCTCTCCCTCAAGCCCCCTCCCCTCCAGCCCCTATGTTTTCGCCATTGACTTCAATGGCCCATAGGATATAATGGGGCTGAAATTGACATTCGGCTGGATCTTCTGGTACTGATGAAACTGACATGCGTGAGTCTTACTGCCAGCCGAAATTGATTCTGCCCCATTAGGCAGAATCTGAATGGGCAGAGTTGTTGTTTTTTCTCACACCCCTAACTATGGGTAGCTACATTCTAAAACCCTTTGCAATGGTTTGAAACAAGTGAAACAATACAAGTTCTGGAAACCCTGGCACGTATAGGAGATATCTGTGTTGAGAAAATCTTGGATGTTTCTATTTTTATGTTCTTTTGCCGATTTTGGAACTATAAAGTTCTAATGCCACATGAAATCAGATTTCCTTTAAAATTAAATTTCCCTTTTACTTAAAACGCTAAGCCTTGTGGATTTTCTAAATATAATAGTAAAGTCATTAGGACAGTGAAAGCCATGCACCAAGGCTGTGACGGGTAGAAAAGGTTTTATATATTAACAGGAACCCTCACATACGCACAAAACCTGATTTCAAAAACTGCACCCCAACTTTGTACCCCTCCCAAAAAACATAATGGTCATATTGCAAGATTTCCGCCATCATCTTGGTTACCAAGACAATGCCTCACGATTTCAAGCAGCCATTCTCGCTCTCTACCACAGGAAATCAGCTTCCAAGTTAGTGCCCTCTCACAGGCTCCTCACTCCCCTTACCAACTTCAGTTTTTTGGGGGGGGGGGGGCTGGAAGTAGCAGAAGGGTAGGATTTTTTCTCCCTCTCTGTATTCTCAGAATTCTAGCTGTATTACCACTCTGCTGTGCTCGAGCTGCTGTGTTTGAGCTGCCAGCAAAAAAAAACAACTCAAGTAGCCTGATGCCCTGGAAACTGTCAGTGGGTGGCATCTGATAAGCTACCAGAACTGTAACTTAAACAAAAAATGTTTTTGGAAAACCTACTCAGTACAGACCAAGGTCAGGAAATGTATAGATACATTCTGATGCATTGTGGCTCAGTGAGATCGTCTGCTCAGCACACAGAAGGTGCTGGGTACCATCCTCAGCCTCTCCAGCTAAAAGGATCAAGTAGGAGGTGACGTGAAAGACCTCCACCTGACAAACTGGACATGCACTGTCAGTCTGAGTAGACAATACTGACCACAACAGACCTTATAAGGAAGCTTCATTACATTATATAGAGGTTTCTTATCATACACTACACATTCCCATTCCCACAGCTACTGAACACAAAAACTTTGTACCATCTGACTATCAAAACATGAAGCACTGGCATTGCCATTTCTATAAATTTTGCTTCTCGCCCCACACAAACTCCAAGATTTTTCGGATATGCACAGCTTTTGATACAGTACATAAAAGAATTGACAGACACAAACTACTGTGAGCTTAACTAAAAGGAAATAATAAAATACTCACTTCTGCTGATATTCTTTGAGCAATTTCTTGGCCTTGTTGTATTTTTTCTCCAGGGCATCATATTGTTCCTGGGTGTCTTTAAGATGCTCATTTACTGTCTTACACAAACTTTGAGCTTCTAACCAATAGGTCTCCAATTTCTTTATTTTTTCTTTGTGCTCTTCTAAAGTTTCCTGGAGCTGAGATTTACTTAATTCCCATTCAATCTTTTCATCTTCTGTTGCTTTTAACTTTAAAACAAATCATCATCAGAATATGAGTAGCACTTTCATATCTAGTAGCACTTTCATATCTAGACAGAGAAGCTGTTGATCTCAACCTCCGGTTACATGCAGTTCTCCAGTTGTTGGTAAGTTAACAATCAGAAGAGGATGAACAACCTCTGGAAGAAAGGGTCAAGTAGTAGACCCAGCCCAGAGGGTAATATCTGTCTGCCCTCATCACACTGTTAAGAGAACTGAGGGGAGAGAAAGCACAGAGGACTTTGGTACCAAGAAGCTTGCTATTGGTCTCAATGACAGCCCCAGATTCTGGGGTAGAAAATATCAAGATGACTCAAGTGGGACTGACCTCTTGGGGAATCTATCCAAGGTGATGAGCTTTTGGAAGACAACCGAATCCTAGGGAATAAGGCCATGTGCGCATCCTATGATGTATTTTCTTTTTGGTCTTCCAAAAATGAGCAAATCAATTGTACTTCAGAAAATACAAACCAGAGCAACCAGGGAAAAGGAATTAACTGTTGTATCTACCACTCGTTGAGGAAATAATACCAGGAGTTGGGATAGAAGAAGCTGTGGTGATCATTGTTGGTGATTAGGAAACCAGGGGTCAGGATGGAGGAAGCTCTGGCAATCTGTGTTGGTAGCTCTGAACTTCCAACACTGCTACATATAAGAAGTAGAACACGCAGTTGTGCTCCTTTTACATTAGTATCATAGGAATGGCATTTCTTATTCTTTTTTACATTCTCAGCCGCAAAGGAGAATGTGCCCAACGCTTCAATTTCAATGCCTTCAGTTCAGAGATGAGATGTTGCTTGGGAGCAGAGACCGCAGTATCAGGAAGATGTGCTGACAGTATTAGTATCACAGACTTTAGAGACAGACTTGGTCTGGTAGATGGCCACAGAGCCATCATGTCCAGTACTGACAGCCCATATTCCCACACAGCAGCTCTCAAACTGGTGGTACAATTATAATTCTTTGGTAAATATGTCATTTTTAAAGGTGATCTGGTGCAGAAGGGACAGAAAACCCACACCCCCAGATAGGAAAGTAGGAAAACTAAAGAAGAGAGGAAACTTGAAGGACTGTTCACTGATGACCAGAAGGAAGAGAAAGCTCTAAGTGATGCAGTGGTTGTGTATAAGCCTTCTAGGCATGCAACCTAGCACTAGACTTGGGAGAGGCAGAGCCTGCAACAGAAAGTGATAACATTAGAAGATTCTAAGTGGCACTCAGGTATGAAGCTCATAAGTATGCCTGTGCAGAGACCGTGAAGAAGGAGCGTCTATATTTAAGAATTCCATAGCCAGAGAAAGAAAAAAATTAAAGTTGTATTACAGTTCAGTAGTATTTTTCCTACGATTAATGCTTTATTAAACCACATGCATGGATTTTAAAAACCATTACTTTTGAACCAGTTTCATCTCTTGCAGTAATCTGATCAGAAGAGCTAAACCTGGTAAAGTTAACCATGCATAAAAGCCCTTTCCAGTCTAGATCTGGCAAATCTAATTCTAACCATCTTTTTACTAACGGAGAGGCAATATCCCAGTTGTAGAAGACCAACATAAAGTAGGGGATAGCAACTTCCCTTTCTCCTACTCAGAGGAAAAAGTACTTATTTTATTTATTACATTATATTTAGTAATCGCCTACACAAGAAAATCTTACCTTTTCCTTAAGCTGGTTAACTTCAGCTGTTGTAACTGCATGTTTTAGCTGTAACTAAACAATGATACAACAATATGTTTGTCAAAGGACATTTTAAAGGTTCTTGTATCACCATGTCTTTATTTAAGTCAGTAAACATATTCTCAATTTTTAATTCACCTAAATTTGAATTGTCAAAATATAAAGACTTGGATCTAGAACTTGAAGAAGGGATCTTTGTTGCCTCCCCTCTTTTTTCAGCAGCCCATTGCAATAATATGCAAACATGCTTCTAAAGTCCAGGTGACCCTGAGAAATAGGAATCACCCATCCCATAACTCTTGCATGACCAGATTTCTGCTAACACCCCCTACCCCCAGCAATATATCACATGATTTCTGGGGCTCTCCCAAGCCTTAAAAACAGATTTTCACAGAGCTCACAAAGAAGTTGAAAATAGCAATGGTCCCTTCAGTGAGCTCTTCATCTAATATTGATTCCCACCCACCCCCAGTAAGCTTCCTAATAAATACTGGGATCTAAGGAGCCCCCCCTGGGGGGGGGCAATTCACTGCTCCTGGGACCCCCCCATTTACAGAAAAAGCAAAACCAGAATATTTTGTGTACAAATGGAAAAACCTGCATTCAACCACATGGCTTTTTAGATGGCAACCAAAGTTGATTTTCACATCAGTTAATATCCTAGTATAAGACATAAGGAATAAAATACTACAAGTAACAACAGAAGATAAATTGAAAACCCTGCACCTACATGTAACTACAGCCACATGTAACTACTAAAGTTATGTTTCCTTTCTACTACAAAGAAATTTGCTAATTTGCTAACAGCCCAAAGTGCATCACACCTCTTTGAACTTCAGAAGAAACTGTGTAGAATCCATGTCCAGTGGGAGATTAATATCTTCGTTATCAGGGAGGTAAAATACTTCTACAGATTTCCCATGTAAATGTGATTCAAAAGAGTCTTCGTCATCATCATAATCATCATCCTAAAAAGATATTGACAATTACTTTATTGAAACTAAATATAAACTTATGTATCCAAGACAAAAATATCTACTCCCATAAATAATCAAGGAATCCAAAGTAATACTACTAAACAAATAATATAGAACAAATATTTACAATATATATACAGTATTACATTTTAATTGCTACCTGTTCTGTATCATTGGTATACTGCTGCTCCAGCAAACATCTCTCCTGTTCCAATGTCTCACTAATAAGGCGAGCTACTTCACTCTGGGTTCCTGGTTTTTCTCTTCCAATAAGAAACCTAAAGAAAACTCTTCAATCAATTAATAGAAAATAACAGTCTCTTATACTAATTCTTCTGGTAGGAAGTCATGTAAATTAGTTTGGAGCTTTTCCTTCTACTTCATTAATTATTTTTATAAAGCAACACATACCTGACTGTACCTTTTGTGTTTTTTAGTACAGTTGCTGCAAAAAACTGGGTTACTCCTACGAGACTCGTACCATCCACCTCAATGATCTGATCATTTACTTGGATTCTAAAAGGCAACGAAAGAAACATTTAGCACTGTAGTTGAACTGAGAAACCAAAACTGAGATTACCAAAAACAATAACTTATTCAGTCACTATGCCATAAGAAGAACTTTCAACTTGGTATGAGTCTTGGGCCTGTACAACTCTCCCAATACATTAAAAAACAGAGTGTGGACAGGAAAACTGCATTGGGAAGGGAATCAACCCTTTAAGAACTGTATACTAGGGATGGGCACAGACCAGCATGAACTTGGGCTGGTTCGGGAGCCCCGAACCAGTGTTCGGGGAAGGTGCCTTCCTTGAACATTTACCGGACTTATGCCCGGTTCGGCTGTTCAGGGCCATTTAAACCTAACAGCTGAGCAGTGCAGGGCTACCAGTCATTTAACCCCTCCCAAGCAATCCCCCCTTTCTCCCAGCTGCAGCAAGCCGGGGCCAGGAGAAAGAGGGAACCAAATTTGCTTGACTGGCTTGGTTCATGTGGGGGCCTCTTGCCTCAGTTTTGGGTTTGTGCCCATCCCTACTGTACACTTCCATTCAAACATGATTGCATGTGGCCAGGAAACATCCACACAGATGTTTTGCTCCACCTTGGCCCTCACTGGAGCACTGTTCTTTGGAGCTTCCACACACTGGCATTTTGCAATCATACGTTTTCCAGAATTTACTTTGCTTTGTTCCAAGTTTCCCGTCTGCTCTACTACAGTATTTCCTGAAAATCTGCAGTCGAAACAGAGTTGCACATCATGTGGATGAGGTGTGCATTTTCAAAACTACCGCCCTCATCAGTGCCATTGTACTGCTATCATACCCCTGGCACTTGCCATTTTCTCCTTCCATCACCCAAAGCTTGTTAGCAGGAGAAATGTGGATGCTCTATTGCTGAAGAATGGCAGGGCAAAACTGAATCCATAACAGGAAATCACTGTCCTGTGCATACAACTGTTGTGTTGCTTGAAATATTTTGAATATCTCAACAGTGTTACAAGACACCATCATATTATTAAGTCTAGTCTATGCTTTTTACACAAAAAGTAGCAAAAAACCAAAAGGTCTACCAGTCTACAGCTTTAAATTGACATTATTTGGGCTGCAAAGTTTGGCTGCAATCCTGCACATAATAAATCCTTGCTTTAATGGGATTTAAGCAGCCTAGCTGTTGCGTGCTGGATTGCAGTCTTAAATACCCTGTAATTACAGCCACTTCAATCATCCTAATTCTGCATCCTTGGATATACGTGTTTACTATATTCATAGTTCCTCATAGTTCATATTCTTCATATCAACATACCAATGGGTCTGTTCAGATGTACCTCTTCCCCTCAAGCCCCCTTGAGCTTCGAGATCAAAAGCAGCTATCAAGCCCATAAGCCTCGTTTCTCCACTGCTCACCATGACCAGATGAAAATGACTGCATGGAGAGATCCTAATTTTGAGGGCTAGCACAATGAGAAGAGTGCAGAAAGGAGCATGCAAGCCCAAAAGCTGTTTCTAATCTCCTAACACAAAGAGTTTGGGAGAAGTAGCAACATTTCAACAAGTCCAGTGAATGGACAGCTGCAAACACTGTACTGCTCAATGGAATATTTCACTGCATTCTAAGCAATAGTGGTAGTGGTAGAAACTACCATCAAATTGCAGCTGACTTGCCCTGACCTGGATAGCCCAGGCAAACCCAATCTTGTCAGATCTCGGAAGCTGAGCAGGGTCGACTCTGGCAAGCACTTAGATGGGAGACTTCCTTGAAATATCATAGGTGGGAGGTGGGGGCAGGCTTTCTTCAGCCACCTCTCTGAATATCCTCCAGGCCCCCAGTAGGGGTCAGTCACCAGAGGTCGCCATGACCTCCAGGTGCACAAACATTCACGCGCACATAAAAATACCAAAAAAAGTTTCAGGTGACTTATGGCAACTCCTTAGGGTTTTCAAGGCAAGCAACATTCAGAGGAGGTTTCCTACAGCCTGCCTCTGCGCTACAACCCTGGACTTTCTTAGTCATCTTCCATTCAAATACTGACCAGGGCCAACCTGGCTTAGCTTCTGAGATCTGATAAGACTGGACTAGCCTAGGCTATCCAGGAATTTTAAGCAACACGGTTTGCATATTTGATATGGCTAGCCCAGAAAACTGAAACTATGTTCTTCTCTTTCAATGTCATCTTCCGTTACTCTGTCCTTCTAAATCAGTCCTGTAGGTTCTAAACAATGACTATGACAGGGTGGACAAAAACAATCATTCAATAAAAATATTCATTAGAAAACTGGAAAGTTTGTCCATTACATAATCTGTTGTCTAATTTAAATAAATTCTGTGATACAAGAGATTCTCAGGTATGCCCCTTTACAGCATATTAGTAGGAACATAAGAACTAGTAAAGTGTTAGACTAGAGTATCAGTGTGTGGCAAAACATGATGATGCATATACTTCTACTATGCATAAGTGAAGTTCAACATGCAACTATAAACCTTTTTTTCTTCAAGAAAGAGCATGCAAAACCAAATAAGCATCTCTACTGAAAACTCACCGACCATCTTTCTGTGCAGCACCACCTTCTGTTATTGTTTTCACAAAAATTCCCAGCTTTTCCAGTCCCTGGTCTGCACCAACACCCATTCCAATAATACTGATACCTAAGCCACTGTCACCTACAATTTACAAAAATAAAAACCACATTTTAAAAACTAGTTTTATAGCTTCAGTGATTTTTCTATCACACATGCAAACCGTTGAATCATATTTGAATCACGAACAGTAAGGCACTAACAGCGCAATCCTAAATTTAGTCAGAATCCTACTCAGATCTATTCAACAGGACTTAGTCCCAGAAAAGTTTTGTTGGACCTAGAACCACCGTGAAATACTTAAGAGCCAGTCTATCTGCTGAGCAGAAAAAGGTCTGCATTTTTACACATCAGATTTGTAGAACTCCTTCAGTGCCCAATTTTTCCAACCCTAATAATTAATCTATTTTGACTACAAGTGTACCTTTTTCAATTTCCACAGAAAAAACTTCCATTTTCTCCACCCGTTTCTCAAGTTCATACTCTGCTGATGCTGCCACAGGGTCAACTTCTTCATTACGCCTATCATAGTCTTCATTTGAGTACGTACTGAAAACCTGAAATACAAAAGTAATTTTAGAAGTTCATCACTAACATAAGATGACAAAATCTAAAAATAGGTAGTATTTAAATACTAATTCAGAGTACACCAATTTTGTGTCTCCTTGCAATCTCAGTAAGCAGTAACATCTGTATGAATTCAGCATCAACAAGCATCTCAGCTTCTTACTAGTTCAGATTGTACAGCAAATACAGTAATCTTTTAATTATCTATATATGAAGAACATATATGTATAACTGATTTTGCCTCTGCAACTCATTTCCAAATGGTGAGTTGTTACGGGGGGTGGGGGTGGTACACAGAGTATAGTCATAGAGGCAAAAGATTACAGTAGCCATGGAGAGAGAAAAAAGGAGCTGTATAAAACGATGAATTTCCATTTCCCAACCACTAATAATCATTCACAAGTTTTCTTTAGCATACTGGTGTTAAGCACATTGTTCAAGCTCACTGCAGGACATTTTGAGAAACATACCAGCCAAAGCATACTTGAAGTCCTTTGCTAAATACTATCTTTTCTACATGGAGAAACTAAATCCACACTGAAAGCCATTCTATTTCTTCCATCAAATAGGTTTTTTTAGGAAAAAGATTTTAAAAGCCTTAGCATTTCTATATATTGAAACTGATTATTTCTTTTAAAAATTCAGAGTCAAATTGTTTTCCAAGAACACGAAATACCAAGTTCCACCTAGCACTATATTTAGTAATCACTGCAGATGAACTTCTCAATCTTTTTTTTAAGACAAACCCTGCAGTAAATAGTATATTTGCTATGATACTGGCTAAATAAAGTTACACATTATTTTTCGGAGGATCCTTTGTTTAGACTAAAAAAAAAATTAAATGGGCAACATACTTCCATGCAGCTGCCTAGTTCAGAAGGTAAGTCAGTCAGCAAAAACAGTGACTATTAGACTAACGTAAGGATCCTAAGATCACTTTAGCAACTGCAAAATTTGTCTCAGTCCCTTTAACCCTTGCATCTAAAAATAAGAAATAAGGGTCTTCTGCTGCTTAAGGGTCTGCTTTCTAAGGGTACAAAGGAAAGGATATTAGCATAATTGTACCATCTTATAGAAAATCTTTAATTTCTTTCTTCATACACAGGAGATCACAACCTGAAGATCATCCAAACAATTCAGAATCTTAAGGGGTTATATACACACACAACTCTAAGTTATATACCCACTGCACAGGAGATAAACAACTTCTGGATTTCCATACTGTTTAAGAAACCAATAGACACTGCAAGGTATCTGTAGTTTGCTGTATCACCACTAACGCAATATCCAAAGCACATCAGATTAAAATGGAACTGCATAAAAAGCATTCTCTGAATAAAGGACCTTCCTCTGAAAGAGCGTTACAGTACTTTCCATGAAAAGTAAAGGGTAGATTTCATAGACTAAATGTTCTAATGTCCTGGCCCCACTGCTGGACCTCCTGATGGCACTGGTATTTCTGGCCACTGTGTGACACAGAGTGTTGGACTGGATGGGCCTTTGGCCTGATCCAACATTGGCGTCTCTTATGTTCTTATGTTCTTATGTTCTTATGAGATGCTTGCAGATTAAACAACACTTTTCAGGCAAATACAATATGACATGGATAACCCCCCCCCTCCTGTTGACCCTGGAGCTTGAGAAGCCGAGAACATTGATGCTTTAGGACTCAGACTGAAGTGAAGCACATCCTATGCAGCCTGAAGCAGTCAGTGAACCTTTCAGGACTCAGGCACTGAAAGGACCTTTACAGCCAACACTTAGGCCCCCACCAACTAAAAGTTGTCTCATATTTCCAGGTTAGACTCTGGACAATGCAAGTAAGATGTATCTTTCTCCTTCACTGTATCGACAGCCCCAAGGAAAAAATAATCCCCCTTGGCAGTTAAGCATTACATTTACTCCTTCAGCACTTGACTGGGTTTTACCTATAGTAACACAATGTTTTAAAGAGCCTTGCTTCCACTGTTTGTTCACGTCAAAAGTCCTATACACACAACACAGGTATACAAGGCAACATGAACAGAGATGTAAGGATCAAGTGCACTGGCTTGCCCTACCTGCTCATGTTCAGCCTAACATGAGTACAAACTGAATACACAGAAATGCTGTGCCAATGATTAGAAATGCTGATGTTCCTGATTGCTTTAGCCTATGTTTCTGCAGTCTGTACATAAGATGCCCAAGCTGCTCAGTACATATTAAAAATATATGATTCACCTGCAACAAAGTTTTAGCTCACTCACATTATTACAATTAAAGACAGATAATCTAATAGCAAAGTACAGCCGGCCAGCAGTTGGGAGTTTTTTACTTTTCTTTGAGGTTTTTTTGTTTTGTTTGGGGTGTGGCAACATTAACCTGCGTGGCATGAAGTTTCCAATTTATATCACTTGATCATTATCTCTTGTTTCCACAGATATCATGGTATCTTTAACATTCCCAGCAGATGAGTACCCAAGTAAATAGCTCATGTAGTTAATAACCAATTTACATTCTATAATATAAAAAGAATGTCAACTCTACAAAAATCTGGGTTTACTGAGGTCACTCTAAATAAATTCTGAGGAAGTACCAATAACTATCATCAGTATGCTAAGAGCGAACCATTATAAAAAGAAATGCAGAAAAAATGTGAGAACAGCATAAGGATAAGCATGAATACCTCAACATCCACAACTATTTCAACAACAATGTGCACTCGCATTGCATGACATAATATGACATTATGGTCGGGGCCACAAACCAGCAGCTAGTTTTTTGCTTTTTCCTACATGTCAGAATAGGATTAAGATTCCTGTTTGATACCTGTACGACTCACACAGCAAAGGACAGAAATAAGTGTGACACTGGAGGGTCCTCGAATCCATGTACTGTATTTGCCATGGCAAGGGGTTTCCACCCCTCCCCCACAAGAACACGACCAAGTTGAATAATTCCTGCTCCTTCTACCCACCCTTCTGCCTCAGCAACATTTGGCAAACAACATGCTCCCCTTCCACTTTCGAAGCACCTTTCATCACTTGTTCATAGTCAGTGTATGGGTCATCTCTTCCAGTTCAAGGTGATAGAGCAATGCAGGCATTTGCACCACGCAATGACAGAAGCAGCTCACATACAGACCACCAGATGGATAGGAAGGGAGGAGGGGATCACCTCAGCAATGCTGGTGCTGGAAAGGCAAGGGAGGAATTGGCTGTAGCAGCCACAGAGAGGGGCAGACGGTGGTGAGGAATAGCAACAGCAAAATCAGGAAGAGGAAAGGGATCAAGGCCTTTCCACAGTGAGATGCTTGCAGATTAAACAACACTTTTCGAACACAAAGATTTTAACTTGACTTGACTTGGATAGCCCAGGCAACCCCAAACTCGTCAGATCTCGGATGCTAAACAGCGTCAACTCTGGCAAGTACTTGGATGGGAGACCTCCTTGGAATACCAGAGGCGGGAGGCGGAGGCAGGCTTTATCCAGCCACCTCTCTGAATATCCTCCAGGCCCCCAGTAGGGGTCAGTCACCAGAGGTCGCCATGACTTCCAGATGCGCACACACTCACATATAAAGAACTCCAACCCCCTCAAAAAAGATTCTAACTTGGTGGTACACTGCTAGGTACACAGAGTCTAGAGCCTGCTCTTCAGGACAGAGTTGTGGCTAAACCAAATTTTGGGCAAGCTACTAAATCCCCCCATGAACGCCTGATAAAATTCAAATGAGCCCTGGTTAGAAGATTTTTCATCCATATCAAATAATTTTTTTCAAATGATACACACTAACGAGTTACTGTCCTGCCTAGTTCTCATCACTATCACAGATAGCAGCAGGTACATGAGGCATAATGTGAGAACCAAAGACGTTCTTTAAAACAAAAATTTTTTAGTCTTACATCTGTGTGAAAAATACCACTAGAAACAACTATGGATTTCAATCCCTTCCTTTTCTTTTTATCTGTAGACTTGTAAAATGAAAAATGAGATATTTATTCTTATTGCTTCATTAGCCTTCTGGAGACTTGAAAGGTTTTTACTGACAAAATAAGCTCTTGGGGGGGCACCACTGAAGAACTTTTTTTTAAACTTCATTTTATAAGACTGATCACTGTAAAGGATAACCTGCTGCAATTCCTCGGATAGGGACTCATACTTGAAGGATTTCCTTTTGGATATTATAATACCCACCAGACAAAATGCAGAAGCAGATTGACAAGGTCAGACCTGTAACTAGAAATAACCAACTACAAGTTGTTACTATAAAGTGGTAACAGTACACCAAAGTTATCTCCAGTTCCCAGTTCAAACCAGTAAAGTTCACCTTCAGTGATCTAAAATCCATATCGGGCAACAATACTTGCTCTCTCGCAGAAAACAGGTGACAGGCCTTTCCTTGCTTACAAACAAACCTGCCCCAAATCTAAAATAACAACAATTATAAACTACTGAACAAACATACAACTCAGGAACTCTGGCTTGGATCCAGTGATAGTTTCTGCATATGGAAGGGATTTCAACTGCAGACTTTCTTGCCTCTGTCATCTCACTGTAGTACAAAATGATTCCAGAAACACTGCTCTACAAGGACAGGACACCCAGAGAAACAGCATAAGGAGGGAACTGGCAGAAATCACCCCTCCTTTTCATCTTGAGACATCCTCTGTCAGATTCATCCCCCTATATTTACTCAGGCAGTATCTTTACAAGACCTAATAATATCAGCGGTACCATCTTGGGCTCATCCACTTGCTCATCCTTCAATATGATAAATATCATGTGTCATCAACACTTTTTTGCTCTCTACACAGGACTAACATGCCAGGTCCTATGCAAAAGAATAAATGGGCACTGATTTGACCTTAAAAATGGCAGTGTTTAGAAACTAGTGGGAGAATACTTCAGTCATCCAGCTAGCACTAGTACCAATCTAAAAACCACTGTTCTCAACCAAAAGAAATTGAAAGGATGATTGCCACATGAAACCTGCTGAGTTAATCAAGAAGTCTGACAACATTTTTCAAGGACTTAACAAGGATCTGGGATTCCTCAGCCATTAACAGGTGTTAACCATCTTAGCGAAATGAGGGAAACTGCATATCTCCAATTACTGCTATTGTGAATGGGCTCTGTAGACTGATTATATTTATATAATTACACCTCATCCTGTACTTCCTGAATATCATGCTTCTTTAATTTGGCCTTTAAAAATTTCTCATAATTCTGTGTATATGTCTGCTTAATGAGGACCTATCTAGCAAAGTAAGCTCTATTCCACAGAAACTTCTGCTAGAATATAAAGTTGTAAATTTTAAAGGTACTACAAAACTCCTGTCTGTTATATAAACTACTTGACACACCTGTGCCAAACTATAAGATATGCTGGTTGGGGAGAACCTACATTTCCTGCACACAGATATGACAGGAATCAGACAGCTCTGAATAAGAATGCAGTTCATGCAAAGAGCTGACAACAATCCCAGGGGAAAGTTCAGTTCATCCTTTAAGGCAGAACCGCGATAGTGCTTGTCACATATAATCTCTGAACTTGATTGTGTTTGGATGAATAATTTTCAACAGTTAACAATTCACTGAAATAAAGTACTGATATAGTAATGCTTATGCCAAGGCTTGACAAATCCCAGACACTAGGTTGCCATGGCACCTAGACACTTTATTACTTAGTATTTTCAGCAAATATTTTATTGTAGTATCCCTCAGCAATTTTCAGTGTTAAGAAAAAAGTTTACTTATTTTGCATCAGAATGCTTTGTTGTATGGCTAAAAAAAGTTAATGCGCATGAAGTTATTGTCATTGCATGTTTACATTTATACAACTGTCATCATTTAATGGTGGTGAATAAATTCATTTCTTAAAGAGTTGCTTTCTGTACTGACTCCAACATTCAACTCTATGGAGCATTTTAAAGCAATAATGGAATAATGAGAAACTAGGAAGGAAATTTAGGTTAAGGGTCTGAGATTAGCTTTTTGCTGTGGTGATGGCAACCAAGGTTGTCCCTATACTTACTTAAAACAATTCTGTCATAGCGGTAATAAATTATGAGAAACTATAAAGAAGTTAGGATTAGGTTTTATGGTTGCAATAATCAGAAAATATGGTCATCAAAACACAAAATCCTAAAGGCTGAAAAATAAGTCTGGCTCCTGAAGCCAAAGAAATGTATCAGGGCTTGGTTTTTACCTAGAATGAGTATAATAACCAAAACTGACCTAAAATCTACTAAAGTTATCTGGGCTAGGAAAATAATGCATGTTTGTGAATACAACTAGAAAGAAACCATAACAAGTGACACACTTTCCCTTTGTTTAATGAAAAACAAAAATACCTGCAATTACCTGACCAATATAATGAAACACTTAAGACAGCACACATGATAAATTCATGAACTACAAAGATACTTTGGAAGCTTTATATAAGCAGTAGAATAGTCAACAACATCAACATAACATTTCTTAGAATTTATAAAAACTGAAGTATTCCAAGCAGATCCATATACTTATAAAAGTAAAGCACGTATAGTTCTGAAAAATGCAGATGTAATGCTGGCCATCTTTTAATTGCACTTAACTCAGCCACAAAGCTATATCTTCCTGCTCTGTTGTAAACTGTCACCTTTCCCCCTTTGTCATCCCTAACCATAGTTCAGTTATGGCTCTGGATGGTGAAGATGCAAACACTAATCAAACTCTCATCAGAGTCAGGATTTTATGCAGATCTGCACCACAGGTTAGGAAGGAAATTGTTTAGCATAACCATCCTTATGCTGATGCTGACAAGGGAAGGAAGTTCATGTCATAGAAGCAAAGAGAAGGAAGCATCTAAGCATACAGCCAACCATAGTTAAGAGATCAAAAACGTTACATCTGTGCAAGACCTATGTGTAAAATGCACTGAAGATAAAAATTTGCGTAATCTTGAGATTACCAACTACTGACTGGACAAAAGACAAACACTGATGTTTACTGAGGCAAAATGCCAAAGTCAGGAACGTAAAGAGGTCAGCTGAATATCTTTTTAAATGGACAGTAAAACAAAAATCTCACATGATGAATTCTCACCATTGATCATCTCAAATTTCCCCATGGGCTATAAAGGAGGTTTTTGAAACCCTGAAAGCGTAACAACTGGCTTCAGTCTGAAATTGTTCACTGTACATGTCATAAGCTTCAAACATTTTAACTACAGCCAAGTTGACATCAAATGATTATTTCTCAAAAAAACACAAGCTGGTATTTCTATCCTCCCATAATTTTCAGACTGCCCTTTTGAAACCTTAGTGTTTGAACACTGGACCCTTTCTTATCAAGCCTATATATTTTTTCTTCATAATAGTATGATAAAGAGGTTAGGCTAGCAAACTCAGTTATGGGTCTCTACTAGGATTGTAATATAGGCCTCTATGGAGAGGATGGGCTGCAGTTCAATAATTCACATGCATATATCATATTATAATGAATGATTGACAGTGTCAGTTTTGACTAAAGATTAGCATGGTTCACCCTGAGTGCAGTTTCAGGTGCATTATGGGGGTGGGGGGTGCACCATGGCCAGTACTATTATGATGGAGCTTTTCCAATAATGTATTTAACTCACTTTATGGGTTATACAGTGCTCACATAGCACACAAATGGTACAAACATGATGCACCTACTAATTTCTTAAGGTAGTAGTAAACTATCTATAGAAAAATATTTGTATTAAGCAGGAAGTCTCACTGTGTTTACTGGGACTTACTCCTTAGTAAGCATGGAAATTGCAGCCTCAAACACTTTACTAAGGCTCAGAAGAATACTAGCAGAGCATTAAAAAAAGCATTACAAATTTCTGCTCAAGTCCTACAGAATATGGAAATCTAAGCTATGTTTCATTCACTTTTAAATTTTTGTCTATGAATATTAAGATATAACTAACTTGCCTAAATTAGCAAAGACTACATTGTGTCCTACAACCATCCACTTAATATTGCTTTTTCAGTCCATCTTGCTCAATTTCTCTTCTTACAACAACCCCGTCCTCCACAAGGCTTGCATATATGCATATCCCATTATCTCCACTATATTCTTTGTTGGGGAAACAATGGGGAGCCCTCCTTACTTAAAAAAAAATTGCTATCAGAAATGATGGTTGGATCCAACTCTTTTGTCTTTTTGCCCTTAATAAGTACACCTGCTGCACACTAAGAATACATTTTAAAGTTATCAAAGATATTCACACCATACTGACCCAGAGAAGCTGATTCTAGACATGATAAAAACATAAGAGGAGTCCTGTTGGATAAGATCAGTGGTCCATCTAGTCCAGCATCCTGTTTCACACAGTGGCCAACCAGTTGTCACGAGGGGCCAACAAGCAAGGCACAGAGGCCAAGGCCTACTCCTGATAATTGTCTCCTTAGGATCACATCAGATCTTGCAAAAGTAACTAAGGGCCATTTTGGCTATCAGTACTGTCTGTTGCAAACCTATAACAATATTTTACTACATGACCATGCATCATACAATTCGATAAAATAGAAAACAAAGTTTCTTCTCTAACAAAAACATTTACAGGATATCCCTAACCGTTTCTCCCCAAACCCACAAATTTATGTTTGAGTTAACTGTAAATAGTGAGGTGCGTTCTATATAAACTGTTTAAACTTTATATTCCTATCCTATGCATATTTGGAAGGCCTACTGGCATCAAAGAGGATTCACTTCTAAATGTGTGGATCAGCCTTTTTCTCTTTTAATGTACACTTATCAGTCCTGATTATCACTACAGTTAAATTAACTAATTACAATGAAATAAGTAAATTACAATCAAAAATTTTATAGCACTGTAAACATTTAAACTTCTAGAAGCAGTACCATCAAAACTGAAATTAGGAAAAAGTCAAAATAGAGTATCCAGAATACTTCACCTTGATTGGAGCAGTGGAAAACTTTACTTTCCTATGTGGATCAGGATCTTCTTCCTCCGAAAGTCCAGGAAATTCCTCATAATCACTATCATAGTCGCAGCCCTCCTCTGCCAAGGTGTCACCTCCTTCAAGGTCCTGATTATATGCTTCTGTTTCTCTGTCATCATCAAAAGCTTCATTTTCTATACCAAAAGCACTGGAAGAGAATCCACTACAATTCTCTCTCTGGTCTATTTGCTGTTCTTCCTCCTCTTCTTCACTACCCTCTATTTGTTCTACCTGGCCTTGCTCTCTTGTTTGAACTTCTTCCAGAGCTACTATCTCTCTTACTCCTTTATCACTGGCTTCACTGCACACACTAAGTTCCTCCACTTCCTCAAATGTGAGGCTATTTTCTTCTGCAAGTCCCTTCCCTTCTGCATCCCTTCTTGGGAACCTGAGTGGTTTCTTCTCCTGGAAGACATTCACTTCCCCCACAATTTCATTCCTTGAAATTTCATTCTGCACCACAATCAGTTCTGCTCTAACAACTTCTATCTCAGAGATTTTTATGGGAGCTCTGTCCACTTTAGAAAAAGCACTGTAAGTATCCTGTTGATCCTTTTCAGAAGTTGTTTTAGGTGTTTCCTCAGCGGCCATACTTAGCTCATCTCTTTCAACAAGACTGCTGCTGAAAAGGGCAGGTGTTGCGTGAGGCTGATTTTGCTTCAAGCCTTGCTCTTCATTAACCACTGGCAATTCCCAACTGCAGAACACTGTCTGGCCAGTGCTTGAAATGCCTTCATTTTTCAAAGTGTCTTTGGGATCCTCACTGTCACTGTCAGTCAAGAAATTCTCCAATCGCCTAGAAATAGGTCCAGCATTCAGAGAAGATCTGCAGCTCCCACTGGACTGCTGCAGCGTGTGCTCACTGCCTCCTTGGCATTCTGCTTTTCCTGGGGTAACTTGAGAACTCACTTCATGATTGAAATTAAAATGATCCACCACATTAGTACCATCAGGAGAGAGAGAGCCATGTCTTCTGTCTTCAACCCTTTCACTTCTGTTGGGAGTGCATCGCTCCACTGTGCTTGGTTTTTTTGTGTTCCTTTCAAAAAGCTTTCTAGTCTCAGAAAACTTCTCTGCTAAGGCAACTTTGTCTATATTTCCCTCATCATTGCTGCGGATAATTTTGTCAGTTAAAGCACCAGAAAGTAATGAATCCTGAGGACCACTGCCGTTATTGAGATGGTTGTTTTTTTGAATGCAGAGAAAAGACGGACTGTTGGGAGAGGAAGGGGCAGAGTCAGTCGAAGGTGTTTTGGTGCCAGTCTTGGACTCAGAGGGTAGGCTGTTCTCACACGAGGAAGCAGAAGAGCCACCCATCTGCATGAACATGTTTTTGATCTTGTGTACTCTGTTGCCATAGGTGACAGCTCTGCCACGAACATGTGGTTCATTGCCCCCTCCATTGGATGAGCTGGGTAGCTTTCGCTGAGGACCAGATTTGCTTGAAACATTATCAGTGTTCACTGAATCAAAACTGCACTTAATGGCATGAAAATCAGTTTTATAGGCATTCCTGTGTGGAGAAGCACTTCTCAAAGTCCTCTCTCCTTTGCCTTCAGTCTTCATCATTGTCAGAAGGAGACAGCGTTCACTTCTTTATGGGGGGAGGGGGAGGAAATGAAAACCAACAGCAGCTGCCCCTGCTGCCCCCCACAATGCCTGGATGCAAGCCTATTACAGACTGCAGAGAGAATGAGACTGGAAGACGCCTCTGGTCGGCTTATTCTTCCGAGCAGGCATTGAAGCGAGTTGTGGGAAAGAGGAACACACAGAGAGAGCAAGCGCTTCAGGACCGTATGTGGAAATACAGGATACTAATTGCACGGGTGATCCACTCCTATCCAGAAAACTATCTGCAAAAAAAAAGAAAAGAAAAAGTTAATGAGCTTGTAGCCTCACCCACTTAATAGCAAGCACTTCAACCTTGTCTCAAATGGAATTTCATACCCTGGGGAACAACAAGAAACTTAACCTCCGCTGTGTCCCACCAGACTGAAAGCAGAAGTGGGGAGGAGAACAACAGAGACTAAAAACCACCTCTGGATATCACTGCTTTAACAGGAACCAAACCTCACTGGGTCATAGCCCTGGAACCTGTTCTCACAACCGAATTTCCACACTTAAAGACGAAATGATATAAACAAGAGAACAGTGTTAAACATGTGCGGCCCGCTCCTACTCATCTGGGATCATTAAACAGAGACAGGCTTCCAGGGCCGACGATGCATGCGGCTTCTAGTCGGCCCAAAAACACTCACACCAGCGAAGTTCCTATCTGGGACGAAAGCAAATCTTTAATAATTAAAAAAAGAGGAAGAATCTCAGCCTAATGCACTTCCTCGGGGGATTTTTTGCCCCCTCACCTCAAGAGACGGCGCTCAAGTACACCTCGCCACTCACTTCCTCCAAGAGGCCCTCCCCGTCCATCATTCCTGAGGGAGGGCGGGGGCGCGCGTCCGTCTGCGTGTGAAAAGGGAGATACGTGGACCCTTCGCAATACTTCCCCTTCTCGGCCTCCCCCC